GAACAATGTGGCAACTTAAAGACACAGAGGTACATAACTGTATGTCATTAACGTGCAATGTTCAGATTTGTGGTTAGTAATATCTCTATAATATCTATCCTATTCAAGAGAAAATTGTAAAATGCGCAAGATGCTCATTGATGCCTTCCTAGATCGATTTACATGTTCAGAGAAAGAAATAACCATTCTTACATCACTCGACGTTGAAATTGGTCCCGAGTTTTTTGATGCTTTAAGCCGCTTGCAAAAGATATATAGTGATTGTGATGCATTATTGATCACTGAAAATCAGAGGGCTGGGTAGACGTCCGTTTGTTTAATCTTGTGTAGTTGCATACAGTATACATACTGGGAAAATTCATTTTTTTTTCTTACTTTATAATTCACAGACTAGAGATTATGGAAAGAATGAACGCATATCAAGAGATTGCCTTTGATAAATTGTATAAATGGACACAGACCGAAGCTCGATCTCTGGGACAAGACAACTTGGAATTACCCAAGACCATGAGCATGGCATTAAAAGCTCTGAGACAAAGACCTACGCTATTTCAGTATGTAAGCACTCCATTCACATTGGTATCCTCTTATTCACTATGTGATAATTCTACAGACTTATCGTAATTGTCCTATTAGTATGTTGAACTGACTAATGTTTTCTGACAGATACTGTCTGGAAGACTTGGTACACATTAGAAGAACTGCAATACTTAACCTCTTTATGAATGCGCTCACGAGAGGAGGACCAAATGGAACACCAAAGCCAATTGAATCGCATGCACACGATCCATTCCGTTACATTGGAGATATGTTGGCTTGGGTGCATCAAGCTGTCGCCGGAGAACATGAGTTTTTACAAGCATTGTTTAACGTTGTTGAAGGTATTTATGATGATGTCTATTCGATAAATTTAGAATTTGTACTAAACTTTTATCTATTAAAGACAATGCGGAAGACAACGATGAAGATAAGCATCAATTAACCGACATTCAGAGAGAAAGTGATGATATCATCATTCAATATTTATTAGACGGAGATCTTGAAGGGATATGTCGACCTTTGAAGGTAAGAGATATGCTTTTCTGAATATAACCTGTACATCACACCCCAAACTAAATAAATTTGCAGACAAGAATAGACCAAGTTTTGGGTCTGCAGAGTGGCGCGATTACAGCGTATCGCATCTTAAATCTCGTACAATTCTATAAAATAACTATCGCAAGAATACTGGGACCTAGTGCAGCTTTATCGAATTCTTTGGAAAGGTATTTCTTTTTTCGAATTAAATGTGTGAAAATTTCGAGCAACGAGTCCAACTCATGCAAATTATCGTTCAGTATCTTGAAGTCCGCATCCCGTGTCTTTTTTGACACTTTAAACACGCAAGCAGAACAGCTGTTAAAATATATGCAGGTCAGAGTTTAGCACGTCTATTTGCAAGAGATCCGTTGCTAATCGGCTTGTTTTCAACAGTTACCAAACAATGACCTGTCAGCACCGCCAGCAGTTAAAGAAACTATACTGCAGCTGGTTCGTACATTTAGTTTTTCCAATCATTTACCTTTTGATGTATTTTATTGATAGTTTGTTTTGTGTCTGGTAGAAAGAAATTATGGCATCCTATGATAAATCTCTTGTTACTCCCACGGAACGTGAAGCTGACTTTAGCAGTGTGTTAGATGCGATTTTGAACCCATTGCAGCGAATGTGTGAATTGGGTGCCAAAGACCTGTCTCGCTTCAGCCAAGCAATATATATGATCAATTGCTTGTACTATATACAGGTAAAACTTCAGGCCAGTTAATGCGACTGTTATCAACACATGAAAGACTTGTTGGACTGACCTGACCATCTTGTAAATTTAGTCTGCTTTAACTCAATATAGTTTTACAAAAGGACGCATCCAATCACTTGAAGAGCAAATTGAACAATATATGGACATGTTAGCCGAGGAACAGGTATAATGCTACGGGTTCAAATTTATTTTTAATATACCTCTTTATCTCCAATGTCTGACAACGTCTTTTGTATTTAGCATATAAGTCTCTTGGAGCAATCAGGTCTAGCCCCAATAATACACGCAATAGAGATCAAAGATGAAGATGTAAGTTTTGCTTTTTACATACGAGCTTCTTTCCTTATTTGTAAGATTTAACTAAACGTTCTTCTCCAATAGACGCCTCTTTCTCTTATACCCAATATGGATGCTAAATCCTTATCGACTGCGATGGCTAAACTGGATTCCTTCCTGACGTTATCTGATCCAGAAACGCTTAGACTTTCGGGACAACCAGCCCATTTAGTCAAAACTGTAAATGATAGGGTGTTCTCAATATTTATAGACTCTTACAGGAAGGTCACCGATGCTATCAAAGATCCCAAGAATCGTTACGAATTTCCGGCGACTATTCTGGTTCGTACTGTTAACGAAGTAGAAACTTTTTTGTCTTTCGATTGAAACATGCAATTGACATCGAAAGGACTGTGACAAAGGATCAATATAACTGTCACGAAAACGCATAACGTATAATTAATTTTCATAGAAGTTTAATGAACCATAGACTATCATCTAATAAAAATCGAATAAACTCGCCAAGTACGCGATAATGGCATGGGAACTGGCACAGACATTACATATTATAACACACGACTGAAAAATAGCGATGTAGAAAGGTTCAAGCCATAGATTTTATCAATAGAAAATTAATAATACTGTTATGTTTCGTCGCCTGAAGTGGAGGCATGTTGGAGGCGGTTTACATTTTTTATTCCTTGTCGCCGAAACATAGTAAATGTTCATATTTTGGGTTGTTAATGTTATGATAATAATACCATTATCGCTCCTCTCACAGCAATTTAATCTTTAATGGTTAATGTCACTTGAATTAATTTTGTACCGGAACAACAACCAACATAATTACGCTCTTGAATAATTTACATAGTAAGATTACATACCAGCTATTTGATATTCTAACGTCACACATATTTGACACGTCACTAATTAGAACGATTATGATTCGAGTTATTGTAGCTGCGGGTATTGATGAGAAGCGGTTTAGACGCCAACCATTCAATATTATTATTGATATTCAGATCAAGAATGAACAAATCGAAACGTTTTCGGCTAAATGGTATCTTTATTTTACTTCCACTAGTTCTATTACGGAATATTCTGTCATAATATTTTCTTGATAGAACGTGACGATCAGCACCTTGATTATCACTTTTACTTCCCTTCCAACTGTTATTTATCCCAATACCAATACTACCTCAATCGATAAAAATGATGATACTAAGAGCATTAAGCCGACCACAAATTAAGAAATACAGCTTCAATACTCATGATCCTATCCATTTTCTCTCTCTCCAACACACACGCACACTCAGAGTGCAAGGACAAACACAATACAAAATAACGCCGGCTCGCATACCAGTCAGAAAACCCACGATATGGAAACCATTTATATTTACTGTCACAGCTACATCATCGATATTCGCATTGTCGATAATTCACTACACTGACGCCAGAACAAAACTTTTAAAAGAAATCCAATCGGTGAATTTCACTTCTCCATCGGATCTCAATCGACATGCGATTCGCTCATTGAAACAGTCGCTCGATCGTCAAATTCAAAGATTACACGATTTGAATGCTCCAGAATGGCTAACTGACATTTACACGTTTTTGCTTACCGAATGGTACTCTCACCCGCCAACAGTGCGAACTGTGATGTCGTTAATACTCGTCAACTCGGCTGTATTTTCGCTATGGCGATTCGGTAGATTACAGCCGTTCATGATACGCCATTTTACGCACAATCCGCTTTCGTCTCGATCCTACACTCTTCTCACTAGCACGTTTAGTCATAAAGATTTATGGCATTTTGCAGTAAATATGATTGCGCTGTATTCATTTGGAAGCGCAACCGCAACGAGGATGGGGAGCGACGAGTTTCTGGCGTTTTATTTGTCAGCGGGGATTGTATCGTCCTTTGTGAGCCATGCGAGCTCGATCATGTTAAGACGTAGTCGGACTATTGTTCCATCGTTGGGGGCATCGGGCGCGATATATGCTTGTTTGAGCGCGTGCGCGTGGTTTTACCCAAATGCTTCGGTGTCGTTATTGTTCCTGCCGTTCTTAACTATAAAAATTAAGCATGCTGTTCCCGCTCTAGTGTGCTTTGACATTTTCGGAATATTGGCAAAATGGAGAGTATTTGATCATTTTGTAAGTAGAATGGGTTTAAACGATGCGACTAATGTTTTGGACTAGTGTAAAATGTAAACATCGATGGATATATCGAATTGATATAACATGTATTTTGTAGGCACATCTTGCGGGGGCAGCAAGTGGAATCGTCTACGTATTACACGGACATGAATACATTTGGCAGCCCGGGTGCGATTTATGGTCATCAATACAAACACCTAAACGTTAATTCGACCATCTGTCAGCCGTGTACATGTAAATATTTAATCTTCATCTTTCTACTTAAACTCTCTATTAATCTGTTGGAGATGCAATCCAGTATACTCCGGTTTTTAATACATCATCTCCACCAAAGCAGTACTGTGACAAATCTGCATTCGTAAGATTGTAGGTATATGCTCAATTTAAATGAATCATAATCAGATTTATTTGATTAATAATAGAGAACGGATCACACCCGTGCATGTTCATGATGCATTAGGAGGAATCGTCTTCCATGCAATTTAATTGAGGTAAATTAAACACTGAAATCTTGAATATGTAAACGGATGCAAAATGGAGTAAACAGTACATAATGCGGCTAATTTTATGAAAATAATTTCGAAATTGTAGCCCTTTCTAATACCTTATACTTAATTCGTCACCTTAATTTAACCTTCATAGCTACATCTGAGAATGAGTTGTCTTGAAAATTAGAATTGCAAGATTTATTATTAAGTGTATCCATTGATTTATAATACAAAACATATGAACATGGGTTATATGGTCCGCCATAGTCCATGAATCATCATCATGACCCCCACAAATGCCCACCTCCAAACGCGCTTCCCGCAATCTTGATAATCCTCCTCTTAACAGCAACCCTTCCACAGGTTTTTTTACCCTCAATATTCGCACGTTCAGACCGCGGCGCAGATCTAAACGTCACATGCTGAAGAGATCTTGTATATGGCGATATTGTATGGTTAGACTTCATCAATGTTGCCAATTGTGCAGCAACTGATGTCTCGGATGGTTGAAGAACAATTTCCTGCTTGCCTTCGTCTCTTGACATGTAGTCTGCATCTATTAGAGTGGTATAAGGGTATGAATCTGTTGTTGATAGCATGTCAACGGCTGATGTAGTCGGGCTTGCAATGGATGTGGAGGATGACGTTGTGATTGATTGGCGTAATGATGGTGGTGGTGGTGGTGCACCGGTAGAGGATGATACTTGATATCGGTCGTGACGTTGGAGATTCGCTGTTGTCATTCTTTGGAATAGTCTCGATGATTCTTCTAATGACATAGATGATAGTGATGGCATCATTACCGGAGGACGTTGGTTTTTCTTTGATGACCGAGTAGAAGAGTCAACGGGTGATGGTAACCATGTTGAAGGCTTAAGAACAAGCACCTGACGATGAAATACTCGCGGTGTTTTGTTAGCTGCATTATCATAATCATGATCATCTTTCTGTTGTGTTATTGCTATAAGTCCTTTTTCTTTATGCTTATCGAATAGTTCACCAAAGTTTGAGTATGTAGTAGCAGAGCCATCCTCTAATGATTCTACATCGACGAACGACGAATATCCATCGTCACCATAGGACAATGTATCCAGCGAGAAGCTAGATGATGATTCTGAGTTGGGAGTTGATAAGGAATATTGTCGCATGTCTGGTGATGATGAGGAATCACTTGAGCTTGCATCTGCTCCGTATGGTGAGGGAGACCTATCGGACATATCCCTATATTGAGACTGTTCTGGTATTTTCTTTTCTTCCCCGAACCATTTTTTTAGTGATAGTTTATGTACAATAAGTGGTAGGTCTTCCTGAAACATTGTTCGCAGTCGCTTTTCTATTTCCGTTTGCAGATATCGTTGAATACTTGATATGTTGTCAAAAGTAGACATTACATCAACACCTTCAAGCGGGTCATTTTTGAATACTAAAGTAACACCTTTCTGCTTGCTGACAACGAGAACAATGATCCCACGTAGTTTAAGGTTGCTGAGTCGTAGAAGCATTGGCACCACAAGAGGTTGATCAGCAGCGAGAATGCCCCTTCGTGTGAAAGAATCCATATCTAATGCATTATTGTTCATTGGATTCGCCTTTTTGAATTATAAAAAAAAAGCTATTAGTCATATCATATTACTAGAGTAACCGTTATGGTATGAATGATGGATCGCATACCTGCACTTTCGTTTGTAATACTAGATGAGCATCACCGCTGTATGTTAATTTGAATATGCCTCTGAATCTCTCGAATGACAAGTCGCCAACCTCAAGAATCTCTAATTCTGGTGGCTACATCAATGAAGTAAATGGCAATATGTAAGGAGAAGAATAGATATTTGCGTTTATATGTGAGAGAACTATGGTAGTGACAGGCAATTTAAAGTGATTGACATGTAAGTTTAATTGTTAACATTATTTACTTTATTAGATCGCTGATTTTGTAAGGTCATTATGGAAATGGACAACCTTTTAAAAGAGCCTCTACTAGTAATGCTGCTACCAATGCCACTCTGTGTCTCACTTAAACAAGTCTTACCTTGGTCCCCATATTCAGTTCTTTGACAGTTATATGATCTACAATGTTTGCCGGTTTGTTGCTCTTGTTTAATGCGTCTGTTAGCAACTGACGCGCTTGCTCGACGAACTCCTCACCAAACGACGGCCAGTTAAACTTGAATGACATGTTATGTATCGTGGTGAGTGAATCCGTTGTTTAAGCCCTCTATTAGATACACCTATGAGGATCGTTAAAGGTGTACAAAGGCCTTCGGAGAGAATTTTCGGTCAGAGGTTATAGGGAATGTGGTTTTGTAAAGAATGTTGTTGCGTATTTTTTTTTTTTTGAGTTATGTGTCAGACAGTAATTTATCTAGTGCTAATTCTGTACTCAGATCTGAACATGATCACATGCGACCTGATAAGCAAAAAAAGCTTTTTTGGGATTACATCTAGTTAGCGAACTGAGTATGTAATCGTATAATAGGTGTCAAAAAGTGGGATATTGTCGATCAGTGCGATCACTAGCTTTCTACGAATATGTTCTTTATTTTTAATTACAATGAGCAGTACTACGGAACACGCTATCAATATTAATATTATTAATCAATTAGTCTAACTATTTTTAGACTTTTTTTTTCTCTAACATTCCTCGCTTGTTTTAAAGGTTCCTTAGTTCTTCATTCCCAATTGATTAGGATCCAAGATTTTATGTAGGCCGGGAAGAATAAAATATTTATCGAGGCTGGAATGTTACCATTCCCGAATAGGATAGGCTGCGGTTCCAATCTTGACGAGAAACAGTATCAGTAATAAGATAATCACCAAACGAAATTCCCATTATTATTTCAACGCTACACAAAGTTGCTCTTTGACCAGCCAAACCTTTATTAAGGTCTTGGGCGAAATGTGTTCTTATCAGCACTGCGAGAAGGCGTAGTACCACATTCATATATTGTCACACCAGCTGTTTAATATTAAAAAACTTTGTGCCATAACGCAGAAAATGCAGATAAATCATGATAACAAATTATCAGTTAATCTTCCTGACAATTGTTGCTGTGAGGCCGTGCTTAGAGAGTATCCTGGTCACTATTTAAAATCAATATGATGCACGCAGTCTAAAGCCACCGCTTTTTTGTTTTGTGGTCAAATTTCAATTCAGTCACGTGAAACAATTAAGAATTTTTAATAGGACGATAGCTTTATCAATTACATTTTCAGGAATCCGGCGATGTGATCCATATTGTTTTACTGTATATAAAGCTACATTTTTTAAACCTTTATTTTTTCGTGCGGTTGGCAAGTTGAGCTTTGGTGGCGTTTTTTATAAGTGAGATTATCTGCAAATGCAAGATAGGTGCAGATCTACGCATTAGCATTAAAATTCACATGCTAAAAGTACAGTTGATCGAATTTTTAATTTCGGCCAGTTTATAAATTTTGGCCCGCATATGTTAGTGCCGGACCGGCCAAATTTATTTCGAGATATCTAATATGTTATAAAATAAGGACAAATAAATTTTGTTATTTGAATTTCGCGCTGTTCACATTTAATAAAATAAGATCCAGCTTTATATTTACCTTCTATACTTTCCTCATCATCATGGCCTAACTTGCATAATGTCTCGTCAGTAATTCCATAATAATCGAAATTTTCATGATTCAATGTTTTGTTACGAAAATATGATCGGTCATAAGTTGGCTTAGATTGGGCCCGTACATTAGTCTGGTTGGTTTTTGATGTAGGTGGAGCGCTTATCCCGACATCTGGTGACTTTTCGATTCAGACTTATTTGATTCAGCCGATAGATCACGTGCGCGTGAACAATTGTTCACGCAGATCAATTTTTGAAATTTGGTCAGTTTCTTCAGTATAAAGATTTATTATATTCAGGATTTGCGCATCAGTTAGTCTAGAGATCGCATCAGCGCTAGATGTAACTACTCCAATTTTATCTATTCCTATTCCCTTAAACAGGGTATAGATGTTTTTAGCCTTTTGTGTCATCTTACGCAAATACTCTCTCTTTTTACCGGGGAGATACAGCTCCATTTCATCATAAACCTGCGTTCTTGCCATTTGATCACTAATATTATTTTCGGATCTAAGGGTTACAACCTTTTTTTCGTATTCCTCGCTATAGTAATACCATCGTAATTTTTCTTTCCGACCAGTTTTTTCAGCCTTGTCTAATAAATGGGGCAGACTGCAACAAAACCAGACAAATACTTTAGCACAACTCCATAACATTGGAGTAACATTATTATAATATTCAGTGAAAAGACATTCTCCACCTTTTTATGAGCAAGTTCTTTAGCAAATTTTAATTATTTTCAGTTTTACATTTAGAACACCAATCATTGCGATATTTAATATTTAACAGAGGTGCAGACCAAATATGGTTATTAGAACAGCGCCATAACATGTGTATTCTATTATTTTTATATTCAGAAGAGAGACACTCACCTACATGTTTTTTTGCGATCTCACAAGCTTCAGTTAATGATAATCGATTTGTCATTTAATATTTTATTTTTTTTATTTAAAATAAACTTCAATCCAGTCGATATGAAATTGAGGTGAATGTTTGCAGTATCTTATTCGCTACTATTCTCAAATGAAATAGCTATCAATATCCCGATGTAAAATTTAAGTAGATGTGTAGGCTCTTTGAGCCATTGCTCCACAATAATAATAACAAGCGCGGTCTATTATCGTCACTAGGGATTTTTGTATCAGATGAAAATGGGTTGATATATAAAAATCAAAGTAAAAATGTTACCAGCCCTCAGGGATAACGAAATAAAGTCTAAAGTACTAGCCCTCAAGGAATACTTTAGGTGGTTTTATTTTACTGTATAAATAAGTTATACAATAAATAGATATGTGTATTGCTTACGCATCATAAACGTTCTTTGTATTACTCCATGATTTCATAATAAATGAATCCAATGACTTGTTGCTAGTAGTCCAATCAAGAGGTCGCGGTGCTTTACGCTCATAACGGAATGGTTTTATCTTGGGTTCTAATGTTTTTGTACATTCGCTTCTTTTATTAGATAATACTTTTGTTCGCTTGCTTTGTATGTAAATCCGATGGCCACCCAAACATCCGTGTTAAGAATATCTGGATGTTTATCACATAACTAGTGGAGTGATACATAATAACAAGTCAATAATTATTTAAATTATTCAATAAACATGACGCATAAGTAAATAGTTTACCTCGGCATAATATAAATCATGTGTCTCATCTGTTATCTCAA